TATAGTTTGAAACTCCCAGTTCCCACCTTTCCCACCACACGCACACACACATGCACATGCACACACCCCTCCTCCAGGAAGAACAGGCCCCTCCTTCTTTTCTTCCCCCATTTCTGTGTCCCTGTGTCAAAATAATCACATCAGCACACATTTACTATAGCCATTGTTTATGACTAATATTACTTATTATTTTAGGATTTAGATCTTTAGCAGCCCCCAGCACCAATACGTGGCTCACAGCAATACCAAATGTCCACTTAAGTGTCACGATGTCTGACAAAATCCTGATTCCTCTCACGATGACCACTTTGACTTCTTAAAGATGTGCATGTGTATGATTATGTCTGTCTCTGCCCTGCTGGTGCCCCCACTCCTGATGCCCTGCACACATATCTGGTCTTAGGGAATCCTTACAAATTCTCTATGGCAAAGGTCCTTGTTAGTTTCATCTCATAACCAGTGAAGTGAGGCACAGAGAGCCTGTTAGTTTTCTATTGCTGCCATAACAGATTGCCACAGATTTAGCAGCTTCAAACAGCACAAAGCCGGGCGCGGTGGCTCGTGCCTGTAATCCCAACACTTTGGAAGATCAAGGAAGGTGGATGGTTTGAGCTCAGGAGTTCGAGATCAGCCTGGGCAACATGACAAAACCCCGTCTCTACAAAAAATACGGAAATTAGACGGATGTGGTGGTGTGTGCCTGTGGTCCTAGCTACTTGAGAGGCTGAAGCAGGAGGATTGCTTGAGCCAGGGAAGTCCAGGCTACAGTAAGCTGTGATTGAGCCACTGCTTTCCAGCCTGGGTGACAGAGCAAGACTGTAGCCCAGGCTTAATTGATTAAGCCTGGAACTGAGGTCCCTGGGGCCCTCCCTTGGACACGGGCATTTTGCCTGACAGAGGTTACTATAAGGTTCAAAATATGATAGATAGATAGATAGATAGATAGATAGATAGATAGATATATACAAGTACAAATAAAAATGACACAAGTTTATTCTCTCGTGGCACTAGAAGTCAAAAGTCCAAAATGAATCTCATGGGGCTAAAATCCAGGGCGTGGCGGGACTGCATTCCCTCTTCCATGATCGCGTCTTCTCTTTCTGACCCCTGGGGCTCCCTCTTATGAGGACCATGTGATCGCACCGGGCCCACCTGCACAGTCCAGGATAAGCTCCTCATCTCAAGATCCTTAATTTAGCCACATCTGCAAAGCCCCTTTTGCCATGGAACATAGCCACAGGTTCTGGGGGTTAGGACGTGGACATCTTTGGGGTCATTATTCAGCCTATCCTGGAGGTGAAGGAAGTGACCAGCCCAAGATCACCCAGTAGTAAGCAGCAGAGTGGTGTCTAATCCCCATCTTCCTGACCCCAAAGCCTTGCTCCTGACCTCCCCTCAACACCAGGGGCGAGGCGGGGGCGGGAGGGAGGGGATGTGTTTTCAGTGGTTCTTGTGCTCTGTTTTGGCGCTGTCCCATTCCGCCCCCAGCCTGCCTCCACAGGCTCCATCCTGATGCATTTGATACCACGCTGTCTACTCTTCTCCATGAGGGTCTCCCCAGCCTAACCAGGAGGACCCCCATCTCTGCAGCTTACCTGGCCTCCGTGTTTGTTTGTTGAGTGAGTATATGAGTGAGTGGAGAGACAGAAGGCTGCTGGCTTCAGCCCCTTCTCCCTGGCTCCTGCCACTGGCTTGAAGATGCACACTTGGCCGGGAGTAGTGGCTCAAGCTTGTAATCCCAGCACTTTGGGAGGCCAAGGCAGGAGGATCACTTAAGCAGGAGGTGGAGGTTGCAGTGAGTCATGATCCTGCCATTGCACGCCAGCTTGGGCAACAGAGCAATACTGTCTCAAAAAACAAAACAAAACAAAAAAGGAAGATGCTCTAGCTTTTAGAGTCACAGAGAATGCCTGACTCTGGGTTCTGGGCTCCTCCTCTCCTGGTGGCTGCCTGCCCCCTTCAAGCCACACAGACCCTGAAGGAGGCCCATCCAGAGGAGAAGAGGCACACAGGCTGAGGACCTGGATATGGGGAACAGGAGGTCTCTGGGTCCCTCCCTGGGCATAAGCTCCCAGAGGCCATTGCTGTTGGCCCAAAGACCAAAACACCACAGCTGCTCAGTGGCCTCCCTAGGCGCTGCCCTGAGAAGCCCCCTTTCCTCCACACAGCCCATCTCTGCTGGCCCTTCCCTCACCCAATCCCATACCTCAGCCTGCTGCCTGATCTCTGTTCTTCTACGAAGCACCTCTGCCCTGCCCAGAGTTTTCCTATCCACGTTCCCAGGTCTGTAGCGGCATTAGCAAGAGGAAACCCAATTATATTTCAATTACTCTAGTCTTAGCCAGACAGAGGTTACTGTAAGTCACACCAGAACTGGGAGGGAAGAGGAGGTAGCAACTGGGGCCAGTGCCTAGGGTGACACTTGAAGATGGATATGACAGGGACCTGTGGCTCAGAGGCTCAGGATTAGATCAACAAGGCTGGGGCTGGCTGGTTCCAGGAAAGAGGTCATGTGGGCCCCTGTTGACAGACAGCTCAAGCGCAGCAAAGGCTTGAGGCCAGCCCTCCCTGGGCAGAGGAGGCGCCAGGGCTGGGAGCCCAGCCTGGACATGGAGGACCTGAGGTCCCTGGGGCCCTCCATTGGACATGGGCATTTTGCCAGGGGTTACCAGAGGCCAGTGCTGTTGTGCCCGAGGACCAAAAGCCTGCAGCTCCTTGTAGGCCTTCTAGAGCACTGCTGGTTCCTACCACCCCGCCCCCAGGATTTTCTCAGCATACACCCACTCTCTCCCATGCCCATCTAGGCCAAATAACTGGCCTCTCCCACCCTCAGGCTGTGGCTAAATAGGCCAGATTCATGACCAGAGAGGCTGCGAGGTCTAGTGCCTCTAGGCCAGAGCCCTGGCTCCTGCCGCTGGCTTGAAAATACCTGGCCAGAGTCTGATAGGGGAGACAGAGAGATCTGTTGCTTGTGTGTGGCAGGAATCTCTCAGGACCCCTTGACCTGGGGAGCAATCATCTTTGGGGAACCAAAGGATAAAGGGTTGGGGAAGGTTGGCAATTGAGAGTCCTCTTGAGTGGAGCTGGGACTGGCTCTGTGAAACTGTGTCCTGGGGGAGCTCTCAGTCATGAGCTCCTCCCTACACAGACATGCACCAGCCTGCATCATGACTGGCGAGCCCCGTGCCCACTCCGACCCAGGGTATCTGGAAGGCCCTGAATTATGGAGATCTGCATTCTGGGTTAGGTTCTAAGCCTGGGCTGTGCTGGGCTCGGCTGGTGCCTAGTGCCCACACAGACAAACATGGAGCTGTACCTTCCACATCGCTGGCTGCACCTTGTTTGCCACAGCTGTCATTGGAGTGTCCCTGCACGATCTGCCTCCCATCCCCCCCACATGATGCATCCCCCTCCTCAGCCTGAACATAGCAAACAGTCACAGCTCCAGGTTGGGGAGAGAATGCAGGGGGGTAAGATGAGTTATTGCTGTGGGAACAGATACAGCAAGTTCCACATACACACACTCACAGAGCTTTGCACACAAAGGCATGTCCACACTCACAAGCACTAGTCAAAGCCACAGTTGAGCATTCAGATCCACACTGAGAAACAGACACCCCCCACACATACACGTTCCTCATAGACAAAAGGGCCAAAGCACAGGGACAGACCAAAACCCAGACAGACACATCCCAGCCAGGGTGATGCCAGTCATTAACCCAGAGCACATACCCTGCTCATATGCACAGTCAGACACACACACACACACACACACACACACACACACACACACACACTGGATTCCCTAGACACACACCACAGCCCTTACTTGAATTCAAGACTCAAACACAAATACACACACATGCACACATATGCAGACACACATGCACACACACACATCAGCCCCTCTTCTGAGTCCCTTCACTCCATCTTCTATCTCAGCCAGCACCTAGGGCAGACAGGCCATCACCCACCATGCAGATGCCGTATCTGCCCAAGGACAAAGTTCTGCTTTGGGTTTAGCTTCAGTCCATCCTCCTGCTCTGCAGAGGTGAAGGTCACCGGCCCCGCCCCTTGTGCTGCTCCAGTTCCTCTTCCACACCTTCTATGCCTAATGGTGCATCTCCAGAGCCTTTGAAAAGGGCTTTGGCTGCAACGGGAAAGACCATGGTTACATCCCAGGAATCGCCTCCCAGGAGGGAAAGAGTGTGAGTTTCAGAGGGTGACGTGTTAGGAAGGTCCTATCCCGAGGTAGGGAATGGCTAAGGTGACTGCTCGATGCTCAGGCAGTCACCCTTCACCTACCCTTGAGTGAGTGATTTCCAGAAGCCCCAACCTTTAAGCCTTTGCACTTACTGTTTCCTGACCTTGATTTGAATACCTTGCCTTGAATACCACAATCCCCCTTGCAGGGTTACCTTCTTATTCTTCAGGTCTCCATGGAGATGCTCCTGCTCCAGGAAGCCTGTTCTCGTGCCCTGGCTGAGTCGTCTGTCCTCCTGTGCCCCACAGTCCCCAGGTCCGTCGCACTCTCCCCACACCAAGGGAAAATTGCCTGGCTGTGCACCTGCCTCCTCCAGCAGCCAGAGAGACTTTGCAGGGCAGGGAGCCTCCATCTGGTGAGAGGCTGGTAGACCTGAGAGAGGCACAGGCTTGAAGCCCAGCTCTGCCTCTGCTGTGCGACCTTGGGCAAGTCATGGCACCATGTGGGTCCAGTGTCCTCATCTGTAGAATGGGAACAATAATAACTACCTCACCAGGTTGATGTGAAAATTAAACGAGATCAGGTATCATGTAGCTTTATTAATATAACTAATTGCTTGGCACATAACTTAATAAATCGTTATTTGTGGAATTAATGAACCTCCACTCCTGCCCCCGCCAGCCTCCCTGTTTTGGGAGGGGAGCAGTAGGTATAACAAAAAGAATAATTAGGGGCAGATAGGATGGGGGAGGGGCTGGGAGATGGGAGAGCAGGGCTCTCTGGCATCGTTGGGAGCTAGCTGTTCCAGCAGCATCCGGCGCTGGGCTGGAGGCGGTGCCGGCATCCTCTCTGTCTCACCCCTGTGATCCGCCTGTGCCATCCTCCTCCTCAGTTAAGTGAGGCAGCAAGGAGAGGCGGGGCTGGGCTCCACCTCTGCACTGTGACCCTCAGAAGCTGCCAGGTCCGCCGGCACACACTAAGTGCGCCCAGAATGCGGGGTGGCCAGGGGCATAAATGTGGAGTGAATGAGGATGGAGTGAATGAACGGATGGACGCATGAATGAAGGTGGGATGGAAGCGTGAAGTGGGAGGCGAGAAGGAACGAGCGTCTCCCTCCGCCCTGCGGGTCTCGGGGCTGGAAAACACGGAGCTGAGACCTGCTGGGGGCTCCCACCCCGCCCTGCCTCTCCCACCGGCCCCCCTCCCCGCAGCGCGCAGCCCGGCTGGGCCCGCGCCGAGCCACAGCCCGCGCAGTAGCCCGGGCTCGCGCTCAGCCCCTCGAGCAGAGGCAGCGCAGCCTAGGGAGGGGGCTGCCCCGGTCCCCTCCCGCAGCCCCGGACCCCAGAGGTCCGGCCTTCCCCGCAGGAAGGCGAAGTTCCCGGTGCCAGGTCCGGGCACCAGCAGCCGAGAACGCCTGGGTCCCGGAGTCAACAGGTGCGGGGTGTGGGGGACCCCCTAGGCCCGGGATGGGGTTCCAAAGGACCTGCGGCGAGGGATGGGGGGAGCCAAGATTCTTGGGTGGTAATCGGGGTGCTGGGAGACTGGCTCCCCGGCCGGCGCTGCCCTCCTCCAGGCAGGCTCCCGCGGAACGCCGAGTGCGCTCGCTCCCCCCGCCTCCCCGGAGCCCCCGCAGCCCCTGAGGTGCAGGGAGGTCCCGCGGACGGAGCCGGCCTGCCGGCGTTCAGTGGGGTACGAAGGCGTCCCCTCTCCCTCCCCAGGGGTCTCCGCAACCCTCCGGCACCCGGCAGGGGTCTTCCCAGGCCAGCCGGGTGAAGGAGGGGCTGAGTGCAGGAGGAGAGGCAGGGAGCTGGGCTGGCTAGATTTATGAATGGAGAGCTGCCAGCGCGCCGGAACAGCGGCTCCTGGCGGCCGTCGGGGAGCGTCGCGGCCCTGGAGACCCAAGGGGGGCCCGCAGGGGGCCTGGACGCCCCCGTTGCTCCCAAGGGGTCGTCAGTCCCTCCCCGAACCACCCCCACTGTGGTGTGTGTGTGTGCGCGCGCGCGCGCGCGCGTGCCCACCGGAGGGTCTGGCAGGTCTGGCGGGTGGGATTTGGGTCTCTAACACCTCCATTGACCCTGTTTCCCAGCCCAAAATTAAAGCCTGTGAACTGGCTCAAAAAACATTTGAAATCGGGATGGCTTTTCCACTTAAATCTATGGTGTTTCGCTGGTTCGGACAGACCTGGCTTAGGAACTTTGTGACCTTGAGCAAGGGACTCAATCTCTCTGAGCTTCCCTCTCATCTGCAAAGCAGCATACCCTAATAAGAGTAGCTGGAAACTTCCCCCAAACCACCTTCTCGTGCCAGGTTCTTGGTGAGGCATTTGGCATGCATCAGAGCTCATTACTCCTCATCTCGGCCCTGTAAGGTAGGTAGGGTTATCACCCCATTAGATGGATGGGGAAACCGAGGCTTAAAGAGGCCAGGTAAGTTACCTAAGGCGACTGGTGTGGAATTGGGATGCAACCCAGGTCTGCCTTCCTCCATCAATTTCATGACTGTGAGAATTAAGAGGAAACTTATATGCAAAGTGCCTGCCACACTCCCTAACATTTCCTTCCTTCCCTCTTTCCCCACTCTTTTCTTTCCTTCCTCCCTTCAGGACGTTTGGGGCTGAGACCCCAAAAGACCTGGGTGCAAGCTTCCAGATACCCTGAAGGGAGTGGACTGAGGGCTGGCCCAGGGTTCCCTCCTCTCCCTCCACAGAGCCTAGGATGCCCCTCTGCTGCCGCGCCTCCTGAGCTCATGGAGCCCTCAGCCACCCCAGCGGCCCAGATGGGGGTCCCCCCTGGCAGCAGGGAACCGTCCCCTGTGCCTCCAGACTATGAAGATGAGTTTCTCCGCTATCTGTGGCACGATTATCTGTACCCAAAGCAGTATGAGTGGGTCCTCATCGCAGCCTATGTAGCTGTGTTCCTCGTGGCCCTGGTGGGCAACACACTGGGTAGGTCCGGAGCTTGCCCTGCAGTGCTGCTTGGCATTCCCTGGGGACTGAAGGAGGGGTGTGTGGGGAGGGGCTCGCTGATTGGGCCGAACTAGGATGGGCGTGGCTCTGCCACCAGCTTCACCTTACCCTGCTGCACCCTGCAGTCTGCCTGGCCGTGTGGCGGAACCACCAGATGAGGACAGTCACCAACTACTTCATCGTGAACCTGTCTCTGGCTGATGTCCTGGTGACGGCCATCTGCCTGCCGGCCAGCCTGCTAGTAGACATCACTGAGTCCTGGCTCTTTGGCCATGCCCTCTGCAAGGTCATCCCCTATCTACAGGTGAGCTCTGCCCAGGCGCCCCTCACTACTCCTTGTCACACCTGCACAAAACCTACGGCCTTGCATAGGCCTCCATGACCCTCAGACTTGCCTTTCAGACAGGTCAGTGGCTCGCAACCCCTGAAGTGTCATCCTCTACTGCAATCAAGGGCAAGCCACCAGATCAGACACTCAAGGACACAGACACAACCCACACATTCACAAAGATCCCTTCCTGGTCACAGTCACAGACATATACATAGATACGTGTGGACACATGTAGTCACCTCCAGGTACACAGGCACACAGTGGAGGAGAGGCACAAGCCCACAGAGACACTTACACAACACCCTGGGCCTGCTCCCCAGTCCCAAAGGGGCAGACAGGAGGGGGCCTGACGGAAACAGCCTTCTCCTCTCCCTCCCGCACCGGCCAGAAGCCCCAGTGATGGAAACCAGGATGTCCAGATGGTGTTAGTGGGGTGGAAGAAAGACTTCTCTCAGTTTGTACCCTTCGATCCACTTTCTGCACTCCAGAGGGCAGGATCCACCCCTGGAGGCAATGCCCGCACACCTCTGGCCCAGACTCATCTCTGCCTCCCAGAATGAGGATTTTTTTCCAAACAGCCTGGGGAAGGGATGGCATTCCAGGGCAGAGAAATGCCTGTTGGATTTCCCACTGTTTTGAAGTTTCCCACTCAACTAGTTAACTCTGGTGACCCTGAGCATAAAGACAGAAGGATGAGGGAATTCTGTGCCTCAGTTTCCTCATCTGCAACAGGGGGGTAAGAGCACCTACTTTGTAGGGTTGTTGTGAGGATGTTAAGAACAGTGGCCAGCACATAGTAAGTTCTGTAGGTGCAAGTTATTATTCACAATAGGGGTGCTCCTACCATGTGCCAGGTCTGAAGCTGGACATTGTTTATACATGATTTCACTTGAATCCTGCCAGGTAGATGGTATATTCCTATTCTGCAGACAAGGCTCAGAAAGGATGAGTGACTTGCCTACATTTACACAGCCAGTAAGTGGTGGAGTCAGGATTTGCCCTGCACTGCACCTGCCGTCAGCCTCCTCACTCACCTATTCTCCCACCTCTGAGTGGCCCCCAAAATGACTGACGTTGTGTCCCCATGGGCCAGGCTGTGTCCGTGTCAGTGGCAGTGCTGACTCTCAGCTTCATCGCCCTGGACCGCTGGTATGCCATCTGCCACCCACTATTGTTCAAGAGCACAGCCCGGCGGGCCCGTGGCTCCATCCTGGGCATCTGGGCTGTGTCACTGGCTGTCATGGTACCCCAGGCTGCAGTCATGGAATGCAGCAGTGTGCTGCCCGAGCTAGCCAACCGAACGTGGCTCTTCTCTGTCTGTGATGAACACTGGGCAGGTAATGGTGGAAGTCTCAAGCAGGCATCCCCTCAGGCGGGCACTTCGGGAGCACATACCCCTAGGGCAGGCATCTAGCAGGGACCCTTCCAGGGTGGGAAATCCCAGGGCAGGTATCTCCCTAGAGGACACCCTAGGCTGGCACCTACCAGGGATATCCCAGGGTGGGTACCTCTTCTTATGTAGACATCTGCTCTAGTGTAGACGTCCTTCCAGGATGGACACCCCCACGTTGGACAACTCCAGGGTCTCTGTCATGCTGGCTGCATGGGGTCCAGCTGCTCCTAGGCCTTGCTTTGGACCTAGTCAGGACAGGGTGGCATTGCTAACCAGGGCAGGGTGGGGCTTGCAGACAGGGCCTGACTTTGAACCTTTTGACCCCTGCAGATGACCTCTATCCCAAAATCTACCACAGCTGCTTCTTTGTTGTCACCTACCTGGCCCCACTGGGCCTCATGGCCATGGCCTATTTCCAGATATTCCGCAAGCTCTGGGGCCGCCAGGTAAGGCCCACTCTGGTGTCCCCGTGTGGGCTGGGGTGGGGGGTAGGGGGCTACTGGCCTAATGGAGTAGACAGTCCTCTGCCATCAGCACATGCCATCTTGGCTGCAACCAAAGAGAGGGGAAGCCCAGAGACACGTCGAACTCAAGGCGAAAAGCGCCAGTGGCCACCCTGGAATGCAGTAGTGTAACACATCCTTCTAATAGTAGTGGCTGCCATGTATTGAACCATCCGATCCCAGATAGTCTCACATCCTCTTAACCATCATTTGTTGCCCCCATTAAATATGTGAGAAAAACGAGACCCAGAAGATCAACATAACTTCCCCCAAACTACTCAGCGAGTAGATCAGGAAGTAAAACCCAGATCTGTGAGCCCCCACTGCTCAGTTTAGTACCACTGCAACAATAAGAATAGCAACTCCGTCTTGCTTGCCAAACTAGGCACTTTGCATCCAATGTCTTAACAACTATCTAACAAAAGAAGCAATGTTACCCACATCACGAATGGCAAATAAGGGCACCCACTTGCCAGAGCCGACAGCGGCAGAGCCTTCCGTTTTCAGGGTCTGTCTTCTTTCCTGCATTGCAGACTGACCCACAGTGGGTTTCCTAGGTTTTTGGGGGCAGGGGTGTTCAGAGGGCCTTGGCCTAGCGAGTGGGAGTCCTGGGTTGGTGTCTGGGAAGTGAGAAAATGCAGCCCAGAACAGGACCAGGCTCAGGAAGGGACTCTCACACTTGGGGATGTCACCTACATTTCACAGACAGTACTGGCTTGCACCCAGGCCATGCCGGGCAGTGGGTGGGGACACAGACTGGCTGAGACCCAAGTCCTGCTTGGGAGGAGCACGCAGTCCAGTAGGGCTCTTCCTGGGTAGCCAGCCCTGCAGTCCACCCACACTGATCATCTGCTCCCACAACCCCCCAGCCAAGCAGGACACAGGCACAATCCTCCTCATTTGACAGACATGAAAGCCAGGCTAAGAAAGGAAAGTGAGGCGGCCAAGGTCACATAGCTCAATTTCACTCTTGTCACCCAGGCTGGCTCTAGACACATGTTTCCGGAACTATAGCACCATACCCCTCTGTTGTGGGTGACTCAACCGTCCAGTGGTAGGAGAGGCTTCTCCAGGAGCCCAGAAACACCCAGGGTTATGGGCAGTGGCCCAGGCCATTCCATGCTGCCCACCTGCTCACCCCTTGCCAAGGCCTCCCCACAGTCTGGTATGACCCAGGGGAGGCACAAGTCACCCCCACCCCTACCCTCAAAGATAGTGTTGGAGATTTAGAGAGGATGGATGGGCAGCTGAGAGGATGTGGCCTGGGGCCTTGTCAAGGGTCCCCACCTCTCTGAGTCTTAGTTGCTTCATCTATACCTAAGGGCCAATAACATCTTTCCACAAGGCATGTTGCAGGGGGTTTCACAATGAGCTAATGGAAAATCAAAGTCTAGGGCAGGCGCAGTGGCTCACACCTGTAATCCTAGCACTTTGGGAGGCTGAGGCAGGGGGATTACCTAAGGTCAGGAGTTCAAGACCAGCCTGGCCAACATGGTGAAACCCCATCTCTACTAAAAATACAAAAATTAGCTGGGCATGGGGGCACACACCTGTAGTCCCAGCTACTCAGGAGGCTGAGGTTGCAGTAAGCCAAGATCGCACCATTGCACTCCAGCCTGGGTGACAAGAGTGAAATTGTATCTCAAAAAAAAGGAAAAGAAAAGAAAAAGAAAATCTATTGTTCACTCTCAAGTCCAGAGTGTCTTTATCATAAACATTAGGTTCCTTCCTCTTGCAAGGGCTTGTTCCCTTTGCCCATCCCCACCCTGCCCAGGGTCCAGCTTGGAGTGGGCCCCACAAAAGGCAACCACCCTCTCAAGGCGCTATACCCACCACTGCTATCTCTATGTGTGCTGGACAGATCCCTGGCGCCACCTCAGCACTGGTGCGGAACTGGAAGCAGCCCTCAGACCAGCTGGGGGACCCGAGTGCAGAGCCCCAGCCCCGGGCCCGCGCCTTCCTGGCTGAAGTGAAGCAGATGCGTGCGCGGAGGAAGACAGCCAAGATGCTGATGGTGGTGCTGCTGGTCTTCGCCCTCTGCTACCTGCCCATCAGTGTACTCAATGTCCTTAAGAGGTGAGAACATGGGGTATGGTTGGGGTGGGGAGAAGTTTGAGGTCAGGGGAAGGAGCTCTCCTTGCTTGGGAGAAAGACCTGGCTCTATCCCTTCTCCACTGTGTGACCTTGGGCAGGCCAATTTCTCTTCTCTGAGCCTCTGTCTCCTAGGGCTATCATGAAAATTCACACATTCATTCACTCAATCATCACATTTTAGGGGGCTGGAAATACAGTGAACAAGTGCACAAGACAGACCAAGCCCCTGCCTAATGGAGGCTGCATTCTAATAGGAGAGAAGGGAAGTAACTAGAAAACTCAATGTATACGATAATGTCAGGCAGTGATCACTGCTGGAAGATAAACAAAATAGGATGGAGAGTGCCAATGACAAGGGTTGGTGGGTTTTTGCTTTCGCTTTAGATATAATGGTTTAAAAAAAAAGCAGTGGGCCAGGTGCAGTGGCTCACGCCTGTAATCCCAACATGTTGGGAGGCCAAAGAGGGAGGATCGCTTGAGGCCAGGAATTCAAGATCAGCCTGGGCAACATAATGAGGCTTTGTCTCTACTAAAATTCAAAAAATTATCCAGCCATGGTGGCATGTGCCTGTAGTTCTAGCTACACAGACTGAGGCAGAAGAATCGCTTGAGCCCAGGAGGTCGAGGCTGCAGTGAGCCATGATTGCACCACTGCACTCCAGCCTGGGCGACAGAGCAAGACCTTGTCTCAAAAAAAAAAAAAAGGCCTTTCCAAGGAAATGACATTTGGGCAGAGACTTGAAGGAAGTGAGAGAGCAAACCATGTATGTGTCTGGAGGGACAGCCAATGAGGGCCACAGGGTGCCGGGGAGAGAATGCGGGCTACTGGACAGAAGACAGTCTCACTTGGAGATTGTGTTTGGCCACTTCCTGGCTGTGTGATCTTCAGCATGTCGGTTTACTTCTCTGAGCCTCAGTTTCCTTAATGGAAAGATGGATGATGTTTATGACTCACCATGTTGCTGTGAGGATGGATGAGAAAGCGGATGGGAAGCCACAGGGAATCTGATGGTCAGGAGACTGGAGATGCCCACCGCAGAGCCTGACACCCTCCATGCTTAGAACCCCAAACCCTGGCCAAGACCTCAGATACAGAAGGCCAGAAAACTTGGATGGAAGTGGGCAGTAGGAACTCCTGCCCTTTACAGCTCAGGTTCTGTGAGCGGCACTCCCCCAACACGTGCACACACAGCTACCCCATTTCTGACACTCCTCAACCCTGGGCCTAGGGTGTTCGGGATGTTCCGCCAAGCCAGCAACCGCGAAGCTGTCTACGCCTGCTTCACCTTCTCCCACTGGCTGGTGTACGCCAACAGCGCTGCCAACCCCATCATCTACAACTTCCTCAGCGGTGAGCAGGCTGGGGAGGCAGCGACTGAGGGTGGCCAACAGTCCACGTGACAAGTCTCCCCATCCCCAAGCCAGGGCCCAAATAAAGGACGGTAGGCGAGGACGTGCCTGCTGTGGGCACAGTGATCCTGCTCTGGGAGGACCCACCCCAAGGAGCCCTGGCCTGAGTGGGAGACAGGCCACACTCCCCACAGTGGCCAGCACCTAGGATCCAGTTTTGCGATTCTGCAGACCAGTGAGTGAGTGAGTGGAAGGGCAGGGGCTAGGCCAGCGCGCCCCCACTCCCATCCAGGTGCAGGCACAGAAGGACCTCCAATCAGCCCAGGTAGAGGAGTCCATCTTGCCCGGAGGGAGTCACACCTGTGGGAGGAAGGCGCTGGAGCCCTGCCTGAGGAAGGATCGCACAGTCCAGGTGTCAGGGTTAAAGGAGGGTCGCCAGCAAAGATGGGCTAGACCTGGGGAAAGGGCTTCCCCTGCTCAGCTAGACACACACTGGCAGAGTGACCAGAATCTCAGGGGTTGTCCCCTCTGGAAGTCTTCCTTCCCAGCCGCCCCCACTCCCACTCCAGGGCTCCCCTTTCTGCTGTCCCACCGTGCCCACCCTCTCCCTCTACCTCCCAGTCTCGGGGTGGTAATGGCCCTGACGCTGAACTCAGCAGAAGTGTGACTCACCAGCCCTCTGATTTTGGGACTAGGCTTCTAAAGAACTGGTCCAGATGACTGTTCAAGCCTGGACAGAAATAATCTTTGAGGAACTATTAAAAGGTTAAAGAAGGGATCAGGAGTCAATAGTATAACCCTCAATGAGACTCAAGAATTACTCAGCAAGGCTGGCTGCAGGTTTCTAGCTCAGAAAAGTGAACAGAAGAGATGAGCCCTGTGGGGAGGGGAGGGCAGAGAGACTTCCTGACACATATGCCTTGGTTTGGTCTATGTTTACTGAACACTTACTGTGTGCTCAGCCCTGTGCTGGGCACCAGAGAGGCTGGCAGGCTAATGACACATGATCAAAGGGGCTTCATGCTGACAAAATCTGTTTCCCCGGTATACTTGGGCTGAACAAGGTGGTATGGGTCGTATGGTCGTCCCTCCTTCCCTTCCTCACTCCCCCACCTGCTTAAGAGAAGGGCTTTAGAATTCAAATTGGGTTTAGCTTCTGGCTGGGTGGCCTGGGGCAAGCCACTGTACCTCTGTGTATCTCATCTGTAAAGTGAGGATAAAGGACTCCAGCCTCTCTGGGTGCTGGGATGCTCTGGGGGACAGAGGCTGAGGCACCCGGCACAGCGTGACTGCCATATGCAAAAGGGCTGCTGCTGCCGTCATTTTCATGATCAAAGCGCAGAGAGTGGACAAGCCTAGCAACAGATAGTGAGCCCACATACACACCAAGGAAGGCAGAGGTGACCTAAGGCCCCTGAGCCAGACACCACGTTTCAGCCAGCCTCTGAGCCAGAGCGCAGTCAAGGAATCAGATTGTCTCTTTGGGAACCCGCTCCAGGGCCTCTGTCCTAACTCTCCCTGGCTGCGGCAGCAGTGCTGAGGTGGCCTCAGGGCTCTCCCTCCCAGCTCTGTCCCTCCCTCCCCACCCCTCACAGGCAGCTTGGCTGGAGCTGCGTGGGTGTCCCTGAGCTCAAGGCCCCTTCCTGCTGCATCTGTCTCCTTATGGCTGTGTCTTTTGTCTCCCAACCAAGGCAAATTCCGGGAGCAGTTTAAGGCTGCCTTCTCCTGCTGCCTGCCTGGCCGGGGTCACTGCAGCTCTCTGAAGGCCCCTAGCCCCCGCTCCTCTGTCAGCCACAAGTCCTTGTCCTTGCAGAGCCGATGCTCCGTCTCCAGAATCTCTGAGCATGTGGTGCTCACCAGCGTCACCACAGTGCTGCACTGAGCGAGGGCTGCCCTGGGGGCTCCAGCTTGGGGGATCTGCCACTACCCCTCATGGAAAGACAACTGGGTGTGGCAAAAGGCTGGAGCTTCTGTCCTGGGTTTCTGCCTGTGTGACTCTGAGCCTGTGTCCCCTAAGCAGGGTTGATGTGAGGATTAAGCATGCTGAAGCAAGTGGAACACTCCTTGTAAACTGTGAAGTGTTGCGGACATGATTATTGTTGTACTTCTCTCATTTGGCCATACCCCACGGTATAGTCTGTCCCCATCATCCTTCCAGAGCTTCGCCATCCTCCCAAAAAGCCCTTTCCTACCCAATTACAGGCCTTCCCTGGAGGCTGCTCTAAAGGTCCCAACAGGCATTTCCATCTGGTCCAGTGACTCCCTGAAGCCCAGGGCTGCACTTGGCTGGCTGTTTTGATGCCTGTGTGAACTAATCTGGGCCCAGCCTTTCTCCAGTGGGCCACAAGCACAGCCCCGCCCTCACGAGGTGCCAAGGGCACACACCACAGACCCAACCTTGTTGGCTTTGTGGTGGATAAAACACTCTCCATGGCCACTTGGCACAGAGGCCAGCAGCCCGAAGCAACTGTAATTAAAAGCCTGGCACTGAATGTTCCCTTTCCTTGTCATTGCACACAATCTGTGCTGCTTAGGTTAGGAGCAGAAGAAGGTGGGGAAGCTGGGGGGAGGGAAGACAAGAAGGCACTAGAATGCTCTTATCTGCTGACCTCCCGCTACCACCACACAGGATCCCAGATGGACTCAGCCAGGCCTCAGCACACATGGTGCTGCCTCCTCATGCGGTGCCAATCCTGTGACGCCGGGACCTCACTTAACAAAACTGTCTGCTCACAGGCCCAATGGCCTGGGGAAGGTAAGGGCGGCAGGGTAGGCAGACAGCAGGTTAACAGGCTGATTTACTGTTACCTTCTTCTTGGAAACCAGGACTTGCGTCTATTTTCTATGAACTCACAGGATAAAAAGAGAAAGCCACAGACTTGGCCAGACACGCTCCGTCTGCCACAGAGATGACTTTAAGGCTGCCAAAGGCCCTGAGCCTTGTTGCCAGAGCAGGATGTGGAACACAGTCTGAAGCGCCACTCTGCTGAGGAACAGGGATATCTGGCAGGGGCCAGCTCTGCTATGCACACCACCGGGTCTGCTTACCTTGATTAATGGAGCTGTGGGCTCCCTCTGACCTCCCCCGTCAAGAAGGTAGGCAGAGCCTTGGTGCTGCCAGGGGCCCAGCTCAGGAGTGCTGAAGCACTGCTCTCGTAGGCACGCTGCTTTACCCAGAGCAGGTGAAATGTGTGGTCTAAGTGCTTCACCTGCTTTCCACATGACTCACCAGCCCAGCTCTCTGTGGAGAGGACAGAGCCCCAGCAGCTGCCAGGAGGATGGGCTCTCCTGCCCATTCCACACTTCCACTGGCCTTAGGATCCAAAGCTGCTGGCACAGTGCATAGGTAGGCTTGGAGGTGAGTGTGCAGGATGAGGTGTGAGGGCTGACCCCCAAGCTCAGAACCAACCATCATGCTCACAAGATCAATGCAGGTCTTGGGCTCGTCAGCCTCAGCTGAGTACAAAGATGAGAGACTACAATTGGCAGCATCGGTTGCAGCAGACACTTGGTTCGGTGGGAACAAAGAAACAACAGGCGCTGCTTCCGATGGCTGTAGTTCTAACCACGCTCTGCTGGCTGAACCCAGCACCATGGAGGCCTCAGCCCTCCACTCTGGGGGACTTGAATAAACTGAAGAAAACTCAGGTGACCAGGATGCTGAGGGGGGAGATGCTCAGCAAGGGAATGCTCAAGAGCCCAGGGCTCTCTGGCCTAGGGAAGGGAGGACTTGGGAAATGTGGCATATAGGGTAGGCTCCACTATGTAGAGGGTTAGCGTGCAGAAAGGGTGATGTATGTCCTGGGTGGCCCCCAGAGAAAACCACAGCCAATGGTGGGGTTTTCAAGATGGCAGGATTTAGAATCCACATCAGGAAGATGTTTCTGCCAGTCATGGAGGAAATGGGCTGCCTGGAAAGGCACTGAGTTCTTTGCCACTGGAGGTTGGCAAGCAGACGCCAGACTCACAGGGAGAGGTTATGAAGGGGATTTTAGCTCTGGATGGGGGCTGGCCTCTGGGAACTGGATTCCATCTAATGCTGGGATTCTAGCACTACAGCAGCCCAGAGAATGCAGCTGACCTGGCTAAGCCTGACACACCTGCTGGGCCTCACTGACCTTCAAAACAGTCATAGTTACTTCCAACTATCCACTGCAGGGAGGAGAGCCCTGCGCAGGGCCTCAGAGCTCTTACCTTTATCTCAAAAAGCCAAAAGATAATCACCATTACCCAGTATAAAGCCCCCTGGCAAACTAGAACGTCTGATGTCTTTGGCTTTTGACTGAAATGTGGTCAGCTCATTACAGACACCCGGTGTAGACTGGGTATTATGCTGATCTAAAGATCCGACTTGCAAGTACAGATGTCTGTGCTTAATAAAAATGGGGGAAAGTTATGACTTAATAAATGGAGTTTGTCTGGAAGATAAAACTGGGGCCTGAGAAAATAGAAAAGGCCAAGCTATGAAGTTTGAGGTAGCTGCTTTCAGCCCACAATGCCAGCCCTAAAACTGCCATGAAACAGCTTCCTGAATAGACCTCCAGGCCAGACTGAACTGAACCCGGCAGGCCCCCCCAGCTGGCTGTCCTACACTTAACTTCACTCTGGCAAATGAGAGGAGCCCCACACAAGCCGTGCGCCCCCGAGCTGCTGCTTCCTGCGTGGCTTGGTATACAGGATGTACTTACATAGTCACTGGAAGAATGAGTGGATGAACCTGTAGCTGAGAAATCATGGTGGAAAACATGGAACCCCAGAGTTTCATCCTTTTATTGAAGCTTACAATTTCACTGGACTTTTGGCCCCAAATTAAAAAATGCAAATCAAGAAAAGTATTGGCAGGGAGAGGTGACCACTGTACCCTGGAGACCAAAGTTAGGCAGAGCATGGCAGGCAAGTGAGGGGTCCCAGCTGCAGCTGGCAGTACCTTGGCCAAAGATGCCCAGGGAGCAGATTTGTCTGAGCTCCCTGAGCAGGGACAGCCCCAGGCAGCTAGAAATTAACACACAACTGTTAACTTTATGGGTGTGGTGGAATCCAAGCCACTGGTCCCATGGGCAAATCTCTCTCATGCTTGGTCAGATTCCACTTTGGAGAAAATGAGCTCACGTGACAGGATGGCCTGAGGGGTGGTGAGGGAACACAGGTACTAATGGTAACAGGCCGATGAACACTCACCACTGGCACCAGGGTGGAGCTCAGCTGACTGGACACTAACTCCATTATCAGGACTGGTATCTCCTGCTCCTGGGGCCAGGCTGTGCCACTCAACTGCTCATGGCCATCAGGACATTCAGGCTCCATCCTCTCCTCCATCAGGCCCCTACCTGTGGCGTCAGGCCCGGTCCTCACTATTTGGTGGCTATGATGCAGGACTCTCAACCCTCTTTTGGAACAGTGTTGCATCAAGCAAGGGAGAATGTTCTTCTAGAGGGGCAGGAAAGGAAGAGAGGTCCACATGCTTCTCTCACTCTAAGATGGCAGGAAAGGTCCATGGCGCACTCCACTCTCCACAGATGGGTTGGGTCATAGCATCCGAGAAGCTGTCATGGTGACGAAGTCCTCGAAGCTGAGCCGAATGTTGCCTTGTACAGCTGTGTCCTTCTCCCGGAAGGCCTCTGTCAGCACCTGCAGCTGGGTGCACACCTGGATGAAGCGGTCAAGCTGCATGGCAGGATTGGCAGAGCGTGGGCAGTAGCGGGAGACCAGAAGCTGGGTGAACTGGGGGCTCAGGTTGTAGCCCATTTGGGACAGAGCTGGAGAAGAGGGGCACACAGACCAGACACACAAAAACCTACCATGAGCACCTCCATCAATCAGCAATACTGAAGCACGGCAGTTCAGGGGACTTCGAGAGGATGGGCACAGAAGCATAAAAAGGGCAGACACGTCCCAAGGGTCTGTCCAAGATGTCAGGTGCACAACAAGGGCCCTGTCTGGATGCTCCCCTTAGCTGGAAGCCCCTCATCCCTCTTTCCCCAAATCCCCATTATTGTCTCTTCGACTGAGGCTCATGGGATTCCAGAGATGACAACAGACTACCTGCAATCATCTCTGACCTCCCAGACCACCTTGCCTAGGGCAGACATCAGACGCTGCACAGCAGAGGTAGGAGGACCCGCTCTGGAGTCGGTCCCTGGGCAAGTTGCTTAGCCTCACTATCCCTGTCTCATCATCTCTAAAATGGGGCTAATACTTAACTTGTAGGTTCTAGTAAGGATTAAAAGGGTGATCATGTAAAGCACCTAGCACAGTGACTAGCATGTAAAAAGCACTCGGTAAGTGCTATTTTGATAAAGTCACCACCACTCTGAGGTCTCTTGGAGCATCCTGTCTCTCCACTGGGATGCTTCCTTGCTTCCTCTGCTCAGAACTTACCAGGCCAGGCTAAAACCTCAGCTCTCCATTTGCTATGCAGGCCTTTGAGCAGGTTACCTACACTAAACCTCAGTTTTCTCATCTCTAAAAGGGAGAAAACAAGGGATTCTTCATCAAAAGGTGTGGAATTATAAATTGCACATGGGAAGAATGAATCACAAAAACGTACTACAAATAGCAAGCATTTAGTAAGTAGCAGTTTTGTTGTGGTTAGTATCACCCCTACTAACATCTATGACAAAAGCCGCGGAGAGCAGGTGATCAGTATCGGTCATCTCCCCTCCCCTCTACTGGGGGCAGATGTGGTGCGCTCACTCCTGCCCACAGTCCTCCTTAGTCTAACTGAAATCCATAGCCTGGACAAAGGATTAGACTCTCCAGGGAGCCCTTTCTCCCTCCTGGGTGGCAAGGCTTCCTCTCGGGTCCTCCCCCCAACATCTTACTAACCTGCCTGAGCCCAAGTTGCAGCCTCCAGCCCTACAAAGTCAGTTTAGAACTAGGCCTGGGGCTCTGGCCTCAGGTCATCTTCCCCAACTGCAACTTTTAAAGTGCTCAGGGTCTTTTAAAGTACAACTTTTAAAGTTGGAAAAGAAACTGCCCACTAGCAGAGGTGGCAACAGACCCATCTTTCTGAGCCCTGTTCAGGGCTCTTTCCATTCAACATGCTAGGAACTGGAGAGGAAAGAGCCACCCAAGCAACACGCACTGGTCCTGTAGTCCTTAAGGTGCCAAGTTTCTGTTCTTAAAGGTCCCTGTGGCTGGGGCCATCTCATCCAGAATTCTGGGAGTCCTATCACCAGGGGGTGCAGCCCTGATTTTGGCCTCAGATGTTTCCTTGCCCTGGATCTTGGCTCAGTGCCCCAGCTGGGTCACAGAAGGGGTGAGGGACGCAGGCCTGCACTGAGATCAGCATTCTGTAGTGCAGGTGGACATTCAGTAACAAGAGGAGAACCCCTTGTTGTACCTTAGGGTGTAAACAGAATAGTCTAGCTCTGCCCTGCCCATCATGCCCCAGCCATGGCCCGCACCTTGCTGCAGCTCTGTGTAGCTAATGGAGCCCGAGCGGTCCCGGTCATACTGCTGGAAGAGGTTCTTCCACTGCTGGATGAATTTCCACAGGGCTGAGAAGCCGTAGACATCGATGCGGCCTGACTTAGTCTTGTCAAACATGTCTGAAGGTGAGAAGGGAAAGGAAGGGAGGAAGGCTTCAAGGCTGAAGCAAGGGCCCCAAGCAGGCCTCACTGAGGCAGCCCTTCTCCCCACGCTGGAGTAGGCGACTTCACAGAACCAAGGCCTAAGGCCCAGATGCCTGTACCTGAGACACTCACATCAAGCGTTGCACTGGCCTCCTCCCCTGGCCACCATTAGCCCCACCCCATCCAGAACTGCATTTTCTCTGCAGGCTTGGCACCTGGCCCTCCCTGCTATTTTCTACCAGGAGAGGGAGTGCCATTCTGCAGAAGAGGAAACTGGTTAGCCTGTAACTAGGCAGGGTCTAGAACATAAGTAAGATCTTAGGAAAACAGCTCTCAGTCTAGAGGATCCCACCCTGAACCCAGTTTCCTCCTCGCAGTCCTTCCTGGTCAATGGATTTCTCCTCAGAATGTCTACCCGCCCACCTACTGCCCACTATCAGGTAGCTCTGCCCCAGCTCGGGCCCATGGGCAAGGCGGAGACTCACTTATCATCATGAGGCAGGTCTCATCATTGAACGAGGACCAATTGCAGTTGACCAGGGCTTGCTTCAGCTCCTTCATGGAGATATAGCCACTGTGATCAGAGTCCACTGACTGGAACCAGGAGTAAGCCTCAGGATCCACGTTGGGAGGGGCGCCACCTGGAGGAAGGGATGTGAAGGCCATCAACAGAAAGGCTGGGAAGGGCCAGCCTGGGTAACTTCCTGGCTCAGGTTTTTCCTACCCACAAAGCCTCACAAATTCACTTACCCTGCCTTTCATCAAGTTGACATTCTTACTCTGATGGAAGAGGAACTTCAGTGAAAATTCATGAGTATTTGCAGTTGACTGTTCCATGAGTCCTCTGGAGTTCTTGTATAGTGTTCCAGCCACTACTCTAAATGATTTTATGTTTTTAAGGAACAGGGACCCATATCCCTGTAGCATTTCAAGAATTCTCTGGAAAAGGTGAGCTGAGAGATGGGGGAATGGGTGGTAGACAGAAGTGTAGAAGCTGGTAAGTCTATCTTAGGACACTGAGTTGACTGGCCACAATAGGGGCCCCTTCACACAAGGACAGCCACGGGCAGTTGTGGAGGATGGAGACCACTGCCTAGTACCAAAGCCCAGTAAGAACATAGGGGAAAGGTGTGCCTGACTTAGGGATTAGACTGACCTCCTTGGATGGGAAAAATCCGGGCAGATTCTACCCATCTTCCTAAAACATCAGTGTCACAGGGGAGCAAGGGCCACAGACCCGAGGCAGGAGAGTTTCTATAACATGTTTGATCTGTGCAGTTTGTATAGAAGAGCTCAGGCTTTGGAATCAAAGTAGACCTAGATTTAAAACCTGGATCTGATCCTTACTAGCTTATGTGACTTATGGCAAAATGTGTAATCTTCTGAGTAATGATTTCCACATTTCTAAAACAAACGCATTTCCCCAGGATTGTTGTGATGATTAAATGAGGTAACAGCAAAATAAAATCCTTAGCAAAGAGCCTGGAATGTGTGCATGCCGAGATATTTGCACAGAGAAACAGATATTTAAACTGGGTTTCTCCCCATGGTAGGCTACATTATCATCTCCTAGCCAATAATCTACAGCAGGAGACACAGTCTGCACACCCACAGACGTATCAATATGGTACAAAATGGTTTAAAAGGCCAGTTCAATAATCTAATTATTGCTAGATTATTTGCTAATCTCCCCTTCCCTGTAAGAGCATTGTACATCCTCTCCCACTGCCTGGTGGCTTGCAGAGGGGCATCCATTCCCATCCTGCTGATGTCAGGCTTGATCGGGGGTGCTTGGCCGAAAGAATGCGAGTGGACAAGACATACAGTATTTCAGAGGAGAAGCTTTAAGAGGCATTGTGCTTTACTACTGGCTCACCTGCTCTTTCTCTCTGCCACAAAGATAACATATCCCAAACAGGAGCTGCTCCTTCAGCATGGATGCCAGAATGAAAAGACACATAAACAAAAACTCAAGAGCCAACTAACAGCTGCTGGCATATAAGCAAAAGTAAGTAAGCGTGAGCAAGCAATACAGATAAATGCTTGCCACAAAACTAACTGACAGAATTCTCATTTTGAGGACACACACTGAAGCTGGAAGCAAGATGCTAAGGTGCCAGAGACCAGGCTGCCTGCCCATCCACAGGGAGGACAAGGGCTGGTCATGGATAACTCAGAACCACGTCAGATGTACCCAGGGCCCAAGATCACTACTTACCCTGTCCATAAGGCCCGGGCTGCTGGGCACCGTAGGAATTTGGAGGTGGCTGACCATAGGGGCCCCCTGGAGCTGCACCACCATATGGTCCTCCTGGAGTTCCAGAGGGGAACATCCCAGGATTGGGGTGTCCATAGGGCCCTCCACCAGCTGGTGGTCCATAAGGTCCTCCAGGGGCAGGACCCTCATAGCCACCACCAGGGGGTAGCCCGCTGCCATACTGCCCTCCACTACTGGGGGGTCCAGGGTAGTAGCTACCCGGAGGGGCTCCTGGCGCTTGTCCTGCAGCTCCTGGGCAGCCCTGCAGGAAGAGCAAGATATCAGTCAGAATGACGAGGCCAGAAACTACGCAGAGTATGGCACTTTACTGCCCTAAAGCACTTCTACCACCACCCCTTCAACTGATCCTATAGGTAGGAATGGAATTAAGATCTCACTTCAGAGATGGGCAAACCGATTCTCCCAGAGGAAGAGCAGGTTACCCAAAGTCACACCGCCAATAACCTGCAGAGTCAGGGTGGAATCCTGCTCTCCTAACTCTCCTTTCCTGCACACCAACGGGCTCCATAAGGGCTGGGATCATGTCTGGTTTGTCACTTTATCCCCAGCTCCTAGTGTATAATGGATGCTCAGTAAATATTTCCTGTATGAATGAATAGGCAGGTGAATCAAAAAGAATTCTAAATGCCCATCCTGTGGTACCCCCATCTCTATTTGCTCTATCTGCAGAACTCACAAGGCAAATGCAGTCTCTAACACACACCCCCGACCCTCATCGGTCACCAACGACGTATCTATAGCATGGATTCATTCACAGCATGTCTTCCTTACCCAGTGGTAGATCCTGATGTAAAAACATTTCCCTATCCTCACTCACAACTCCTTGAGGCAGGCAGGGGAAGACCCATTTCCTAAGGCAATATGATACAATGGTTTAAAAGGCCAGTTCAACAGCCAGGCATGGTGGCTCACACCTGTAATCCCAGCACTTTGGAAGGCTGAGGCGGGCAGATCACCTGAGCCCAGGAGTTGAAGACAAGCCTGGGCAACATGGCAAAACACCATCTCTACTAAAAAAATAAAATAAAATAAAAAATCGAGGCTGGGCACAATGGCTCACGCCTGTAATCCCAGCACTTTGGGAGGCCGAGGCAGGTGGATCATGAGGTCAAGAGATTGAGACCATCCTGGCCAACACAGTGAAACCCCATCTCTACTAAAAATGCAAAAAAAAAAAAAAAAAAAAAATTAGCTGGGCATAGTGACGTGCGCCTGTAGTCCCAGCTACTAGGGGGGCTAAGGCAGAAGAATCACTTGAACCAGGGGGGCAGAGGTTGCAGTGAGCTGAGATTTTGCCACCACTCCAGCCTAGTGACAGAGCAAGATTCAAAAAAACAAACAAACAAACAAAAATTATCTGGGCGTGGTGGCGTATATCTATAGTCCCAGTGACTCGAGAAGGAAAGGTGGGAGGATCACCTGAGCCTGGCAGGGGGTCGAGACTTACAGTGAGCCATGATCATACCACTGTACTCCAGCCTGGGTGACAGAGTAAGACCCGGTCTCAAAAAAAAAAAAAGAAAGAAAAAGGAAAAAAAAAAAAACAACAATCAGTTCAAGAGTTCAAGTTCAGTGTCTGCCACTTACTAACTGGACTGACTTAATCCTCTCTAAGCCTCAATATTTTCTGCTGTAAAATGGGAATAATAGTAGCTACCTCTCAGGGTGGTATGTGAATGAAATGAGGCCAGCTATGTGAAGCACTCTGACACAGGGCCTGGCACAGAGTAAGCACTCAATAAACATTAACTACTAACAACAGCCTCCTACAGAGGACAAGACTCAAGTCCAGGAAAGTCACACACAGGCTGTGTGGAAGGGCTGGGACCAGAACCTGCATCTCTTGGCTCTAAGTCCAGGGCATCTGTGCATTAGAGCATACATGGGGGCATTCCCTCTTATCCATCTTCCCACACCAATAGCCAGGGATCCCTGAGGCTTGGCATGTTCCGCTCCATCTTCTTAAATGGCTAGCACAGGACCCAGCAGAGCAGAGCCCCAACACATCTGCAGACAAGCTGAGCTCAAGGGCACAGAGGGCAGCTGGGAAGAGCTCTGAGGACAGAACCATCTAGACATGTTCTAAATCAACCTATAAGTGTAACAGTGGCCAACCCACTGAGGGCCTGGGCTTTCTCTTTTTATTGTGTTTGATAGCTTCTAAGACAATTACTCTTAAGGCTAATTGGAGGCATGGGGTTTTTTGGGAGGAGAACAGGAAGCAGGCCCTGCCACCTCCCCCAATCAGCAATCCTTGGGAGCTTCTCCCTAGAACCCGTCAAAGCTGCTAGCAAGACTCCTTCACAGACAAGAACGGCTCAGACAGATCTCAATTTAAAACTCTGCTCCCATCAGCTGAGTTCATGACTGTGGGCCTGAGGCTTCATCTCTCTGATCCTGCTTCCTCACAAATAGAACAATCCCTTCTTCGTTGGACTGTTCTGCAGATTACAAGAAATAAATGCAGCAAAATTCTGTTAGTTTAATTTTTAACTAAAGAATCAAATCTTTTTATAACCAACCCGGGCAACACAGTAAGATCCTGCCTCTACAAAAAATTTTTAAAAATCAGCTGGGCGTCGTGGTCCACCTGTAGTCCCTGCTACTCAGGAGGCTAAAGTCGGAGGATCACTTGAGCCCCAGAGCTGGAGGCTACAGTGAGCTGTGACGGTGCCACAACACTCCAGCCTGAGTAACAGAGCGAGACCCTGTCACAAAAAGAGAGAGAGAGACAGAGAGAGAAAGAAAGAATCCTTTGATAAAATAAAACTAATACAAGAAAGTTGCTCTGGCTGAAGTAAGGTGGGGCTCTAGAGCCCCAACCATATGGAACCCGCTCCCTTGCTAGATTCTGAGGGGCTCTGAAGAACCCTCATAGTGACTGAAAAGACAGTCGGAAAACCACTCACCTAAGAAAAATAGTTTTTACAACAGTGCTTGGCATAAAGCAAATGACCAATAAGTCACAGCTGCTATTGTTACAACTATATTCATGACTATCATCAGCAAAGTCCTGGGCCAGGTCCATTGTGGGCAGTGGGGTATAAAGGAGAGTGAAGCAATCTGAAGGAGCTCACAGTTAACAGGACTTAATATGGAGACACTGTGTCATGTCTAACAAAACAGCACAAGGAAAACAGGTGTTTGAGATGGAGACACAAGTCATGTGCCATAGGACTGCAAAGGAAGGAGGAGAAATCAGGGTGTGTTTCCTTGAGAGCGGCATTTGAGCTAGGACTTAAAGAATGAACAAGATTCCCAAGGGGTTGGAGAGGTGTGACAAAAGAAACATCCAGAAGACCAGTCATTTAACCTAACACCCTCATTTTACAGGTGGGGGAGGGAGCATACCAAGTCATGCCATGAGCTGGCAGCAGAGACAAGGCTGGACTGCTCTCTTGCACCCAATGACTCCCTATGCCTCCTGCTACAATGCTCCTTCCTTAAGTAGTAGGGCTCAGGATGCTGGCATAGGATGGAAAGGGAGTGGGGACTCTGCAGAATCTGGGCACACCCAAAGAACAGGCTGGAAGTAGCTGCCTCACTGTAAGTCCTGTGAGCAAAGCTATAAACTGTACTTGGCGCCTAGGAAAACCCACCTAGAAAACCAGCTAGGAAGCACCCCCAAGCTAACAAAGCAGGTGCTGCCAGGCAGGTTTTCTGCCCTTCTTGCTATCACATTCCAGATGCCCACTGCAGTCTGGAGGCAATTAAACCCTTTCCTTTCTGTCCTGCATTAAAGGCCTCCTGTGTAGTTTAGAAAGCACTCAAACACACAAACACTACTGGCAGAATCTTGCCAACAGCCTCCTAACAGAAAAAAGGAAGATGTTAGTTGGCCTCTTTTTCAGATGAAGAAACTGAGGCACAGAGCTGTTAAATGACTTCATTCAGCACATATTTTCAGAGTAATGATATTGTACTAGGCTCTGTGGTAGGCCGGAGGTCATAACTAAATGGGGTCCTGCCCTTGAGGAGCCCACAAATAATTATGATACAATCTGATCAGTGTCATCAGAAAAATCTAGTTATGTGATATAAAGGAAGCTTAGATGGAGGAATTTGTGCTGTGTGTAGAATGAATAAATGAACATGTGAAGTAGGTCAAGGAAGGTTTCCTGGAGGAAGTGGCAGTGATACTGGAATTAGTCCTGGAAGGATGCATAGACATTCTCCAAAAGGCAGGCAGGGAAGGACACTCCAGACAGGAGAAAAAAGACAAAGGCACAGACTTATGAATGAGCATAGTGCATTCAGGGAATGAGTTAAACTGCAGAGGCAAGAATGCGGTGTGAGCCCAGAAAGGCAGGCCCTTTATACACTCCTTGACCAAGCACCTCTCCTACTCCAGTTCAGTTAGCTGTGAGTTATCAGTGTCTCAGAGTAGTTTCAATCTTATCTGTCTAGCATCTCCCCCACCCAACAGTAAGCCCCCCAGGGGCAGAAACTGGGCCTCATTCCTCATGGTACCCCAGGGCCCAGGACAGTGCCTGGCACCTGCAAGCCTCCGTAAATATTTGAACAAATGAACATCACTCTAAAGAGTTTGGTTTGGGCTTTATGCTGCAGAAAACAGAGCACCACAGAAGGGTTTCCAATAGCAGAGGAGCGTGATCAGAGCCTTGTTGAGAGAAGTAAGCAGTGGCGGTGTGGAGGATGAGCTAGTGAGGGAGGCAGCAGCTCTGGTGCTGGGCAGGCAGGGCAGGAACCAGACGGCACACTTGGGGATGAAGAGAATGGAATGGATTCTGAAGCTATTTGAGAGACAGACCAGACATGACTTGGTGACTAATTAGATTAGCAAAGGGATGGAGAGGGTGTTAGGAAAGTGTTTAGAATGACTCAGGTTTCTAGCTTACACAAGATGAAGGAGGTGGAGCCAACTGAGAGAATCCAGGCTACACAGGAAGTTTGGGGAAGATGAGTTGGTCCCTGCCTCACAGAGGGTCACCAAGTGTCACTGAGCCGTTAGCAAAGGTCTGAACCAGAAATGAAAAACAGAGTCCCTGACTCCATGTTCTTTTACACTACTCCCTGCTGCCAGCCCTTTTTTAGCATTTTTCCAAGAGTATTTCATACTGATAAACACAAGTTTGTGAAGGGGGTAAAACAGGAAGAGTTCAGTAACTGCAGCTTCTGAAGCAACACAGAAAAAAGGCTACATCTGATGCCCTGGGGGACTGGGGGCAATGAACATTTATTGAGGCTCTGCTAGGTGCTTCCAGTTCAATCAGCTCTCACTGACCCTCAGTCTTGTGAGGTAAGCACCATCATCTCCATTTTGCAGATGAGAACATTAAGGGGCAGAAAGCTGAATAACATGCCCGAGATCATGCAGCTAGAATGGGCGAGGTGGGATTCAAGTCAGGGTCTGCGTGACACTACACTACCCCCCTGTCTGTTTGTTCACTCGATACATGAGTGAGTGCATAGCATGTGTCTGTGCGACGGATTGTGCTAAATGTCTTTGTCAAATATAATATATTTTGTCAAATATAATGAATTTCTACCGTGGACAGAGATAGAGGGGAAGGCTGGCTTAGGTGATCTCTCAGAACTTTCAAGCCCAGAAATCAGGGAGTCTCAGAAAAATGTCATTCTTTTTCATCCCAGCACCTCAACCCAGTTTGAGAGCCACGGTTTGGAAGATACCCAAAAGACTCTCCAGTCCAACCTCTCAGTTCATAATGGAGTCTCTGCGGCACCACCGGGAATGTCTACTTGCATTCCCACAAGCAGTAGGGGGCTCACCTCCTCCCAGACAACCCACTCAGAAAGTCCTGTATCTTTTTTTCCAGTTCTGAGGACTCACTCTTCTACCTTCAAGACCCTTGTGAAGGTCAAAGATATCAAAGGCTGTTCCAAGCTGAGCCCTGATGACAAACAGGGGAGGGACCATTGCAAAGACAGGTTTGCACCCCAGAACTACCCTACAAGTATCCACGGGAGGAGGCAGGAAGCCCAAACTAAGGGGTTAAACAATCACAAGACAAAAGGAATGGTTCAAGCATTCACCAGCAGAGCCACTGCAAATAGGAGAGAAGCATGCAACCAATAAACAATGAGCAAGGACTGTCCGCAGCCTTCAATTACCACCTCTGTGCTCACACTTCCAAATCTTTCTCTCCAGCTTCATCACTCCTGAGCTACAGACCCACATATCCAGCAGCCTCCCGGACCTTCCCTCCAAACCTACGCCTCCCTGTGTTCTCATCGCAGTGAATGGAGCTCCATTCCACCTCATCATCCAAACTGAAAGCTTTAGTGCCCTCCCGGGAACCTCCTCTTTCCTCCCCTCTGTCACCTCACTTAGGCACCAGGTTTTTTCAACTCTACCTCCCAAGTGTTTCTCCGGTCTTCTCTACCAGGTCACAGTTCTCGTTAGCCTAGATTACTCAATAGCTTCAAAACTGGTATACATGCCTCCTGTCTCTCCTGCTTCAATCCTTTCTCACAGCACCCCGAGGTAAACGCTCCAAAGCACAAATGGGACAACACTTCGCTGGCTCCCTCACTACTCTCAGAATGAAGTCACACTCCCCAGAAAGGCATACAAGGCCCTTTGGGATCTGGCCCTTGCTTACCTTTCTAGTCTATTTCTTACCCCTTTCCCCCACATCACTACAACTACACTGAACTTCTTCAAGTCCCTACAGAATACTATGCAGTCTTACTTGCTTCCTGGGCTTTGTGCAGCTATTTCCTCTGCTGGAATCATTCCTTTCTTCACTCAGCTAACTTCTACCAGTGATTCCGTTTTTGGCTTAAATATCACCTCTTTTAAAAAGTCTTGATGCACCCCTAGACTGAGTTAGGTATCTCACTCTCCCACACTGTCCTAGTACCAAACACTTATTCCCATTTCATACTTATCACATTGCCTCTTCAACCTACATAACTGCATTACTCCTCCACTTGGGAGTATTTTACATGCCCAACACCATACCAAGCACTTTAAAATATAAAAAATTAGCTGGGCATGGTGGTGTGTGCCTGTAATCCCAGTTACTTGGGAGGCTGAGGCAGGAGAATCTCATGAACCTGGAAGGCGGAGGTTGCAGTGAGCCAAGATGGTGCCATTGCACTCCAGCCTGGGTGATAGAGCGAGACTCCGTCTAAAAAAAAAAAAAATTGTCTAAAAAAAAAAAAAATTAAAAGATAGAAATAAAAAAAAAAGAAGGAAAAACTGAGTCTCAGACTTTTGCAACAAACTTCTGCAAGGGAGTGGCAAAGCAGGGATTTGAAGCCAAATCTCTGTGGCCTCAGAGACTAAGCTCTTAAGCACTGAAATCCACCAGCAGGTGCCCCCACAGGACCCAAGGGTGCTTGAATTTTACCACTCCAACACCCAGTCCCGGCCTGGGTACCCTGGACTGGAATCAGTGGAAAATTACAGGAATTTGGACTCCTAACACTAGGCTGGAATCCTCCAAAGCTATGTAGTGGGTGGAGGGGAGGCAGCACTGACTGAGATGCTTTAAACAACCCGTTTCCTTTCTTAGAACACCTGAGACCAGGAGGCGGCCAAGGGTATGGTAGGAAAAAAAGCACCATTTCTTTTTCTATTCCAGATTCCTCTCCCTGTGTTCCTTTTCAGTATTTCACTCCAAGAATAGCCCAGGCAGCAAGGCATGATGAGAGCAGTCACGGCAGCAGGAGCTGCCACCAGACACTGGCATGTACCAGGCACTAGCAACGTGCCAGGCTCCCTGCATTTCAACCTCATTTTAGCCCTTTTCACAGATATTATTTCTCCTTATAAAGGTGAGAAAGGTGAGGCTCGGAGCCCTTAGTTTGTCTAAGGGTATATAACTAAGTAATACAGCTAGAATTCTAGCACAGTTCTGTCTAACTTGTCATTGCTTTTAGAATGCAAACAAATCGTCCCTAATGCTTATTAGCTTATTAACATGTAGATTCCTGGGTACAGAACAGGTCTGAAGTGGGACCCAAAAGTGCGCTTTCTTTTTTTTTTTTTTTTTTTTTGAGACGGAGTTTCACTCTTGTTACCCAGGCTGGAGTGCAATGGTGCAATCTCGGCTCACCGCAACCTCCACCTCCTGGGTTCAGGCAATTCTCCTGCCTCAGCCTCCTGAGTAGCTGGGATTACAGGCACGCGCCACCATGCCCAGCTAATTTTTTGTAGTTTTAGTAGAGACGGGGTTTCACCCTATTGACCAGGATGGTCTCGATCTCTTGACCTAGTGATCCACCCGCCTCGGCCTCCCAAAGTGCTGGGATTACAGGCGTGAGCCACCGCGCCCGGCCAAGTGCGCTTTCTTAAACAAGCTCTCAGGTGACTCTGAGGCAGAAGACCAGCCACTGGGAAACAAGGCACTATGGATGTTTTCTCAGCCTGTGTTCCTCAGAAATACCAGAGTCACAAAAAGTGACCAGACATCTGAAAAGAAAGAGGGGACAGGGAATTTCTGTGGTTAAACACATTTAAGAAATACTGCCTATTATATTCCTTTCTGGAAGATTTACAATGTACATTAGCAAATTAGAATTTTTGAGCTGGGCACGGTGGCTCAAGCCTGTAATCCCAGCACTTTGGGAGGCCGAGGCGGGTAGATCACAAGGTCAGGAGTTCGAGACCAGCCTGGCCAACACAGTGAACCCTCGTCTCTACTAAAAATAAAACAATTAGCCAGGCGTTGTAGCGCATGCATGTAGTCCTAGCTACTCGGGAGGCTGAGGCAGGAGAATCCCTTGAACCCAGGAGGTGGAGGTTGTGGTGGGCCAAGATCGTGCCATGGCACTCCAGCCTGAGCAACAGGGCAAAACTCCATCTCAAAAAAAAGAATTTTGAAAATGACTTGTGGTCACCATTATTCAGCTATACTTAACAAGAGTATTTCCAAAACTTTAGTTAACTACAGACTCCTCCTATATTAACAGTATCTATTAACATCTCACAAGACTCAGCAAGTGGAACAGAGTTTAGAACACGACGGCTATGTTACAATGCCTCCTAACTCCAGCCCGCACTGGCCTCTCTTTCCTATCTCTCTCTAAGAATGCAATGAGAGAAGCCCTAGGCCCTGGTCATGGCCTCACCCTCACTTACTACGTATGACCTTTGAGAAGCCACTTAATCTCTTTGGGTTTGTTCCTTAGCAGTAAATGAGGGGTAATAATACCTGCATGCCAACAGGGCCTTCATGATAAGGATAATGGAGGTCCAAATACTGTGTAACCCGTACAAGACTGCACTTCCTGGAAGGGCTGTTACATCTTTTGGCATGTGACTATACTCATTTGAGCACTATGTAATATACCAATAGAACTTGTTTTCCCACTTTTTCTGCATGGGTTTCATCTTCTAAATACCTGTATGGTGGCAGGCCTCTGTGGGCTTCATTTCCTCCTCTGTAAAATGAGGTTTCATCTTCTAAATACCTGTGTGATGGCAGGCCTCTGTGGGCTTCATTTCCACCTCTGTAAAATGAGGGGACTATTTTGAGGACCCTCCGGGCACTGGCCTTTTAGAAGTCTAGGAAAATCAAAATGCTGAAGGCAACACATGTTACACCTTATCATATACCAAATGCTTCATAAGCCTCACCTCCTTCCTCTCCACAGCAGCTTTATAAGGCAGCCCCTATTATTCGGCCCTATTTTACAGGAAGAAACTTGGACTCGGAACGGCAAAATATTCAAGGGCTCACAACTATTTAGAGCCAAGATGTGAACCTACCTCTGACTCCAAACTGCACTTAAACACCCTACTATCACCCAACAAAGAATTCTGGCCACAGAATCACCTTGCTGTGGTATTCCTGGCTGAATCAAGATGGGCTGGGGAATAGGCATCTAAAGACAGCCCGGGTTCTGACCTCGGCCCTGCTGGCTAACTGCCTGGTGACTTCAGGTAAGTTCTGTGTCTTCTCGGGGTTCACTTTCCTAAAAGCGACATGGAGGTGTTGAACTAAGTCAGCGGTCAAACCAGCTCACTTGTGGCGCCTGCTACAACCAGAGTTTCCTGATGACTGTGATGCAGTGTTGGGGTGGGTCAGGAAGCCTGGAATTTTATCCGACGCCCCAAAGGAGAGCGATGGAACCAGAACTCTAAACGTCTGGTCACGGCTGATGCCCCCGCACAAGGCCCCCGTAGGAGCCTTAGGAAAGGCTGTGGAGCCCAGGCCAGGACCAGCCCGGACCTGTGGGGTACAAAGTCCCCAAATCCTCGCGTGAGCAACGTCAAAGGAGGCGCGACACGACCTCCTAAATGTGCGGTCCTTCATGACGTGAGCCGGGCGCGACCGACGGTTCCTGTTCGGTTCTCTACAGCGCGAGGCCTCGCTGAAGCGAACCCATCGTGAGAATGGCGCAGAGAAAACGGGGAGAAAGAGTCGGGAGGCGCCGGGCCTGCGTTGGGCACGGCCCCTACCTGGATTCGCGGACCCCTCACACACTCACCTGCCGGTAGGGATAGCTGGCCATGGCGATTCTGTCGTCACACGCAGGCAAGGGGTGGGGCTTTCCGCTCTCAAACCCGCCCCTCGCCTCGGCTTTGGGGCTGGACCCGATCTGACTGGACGTCCCAGCCTGTCAATCTTGGCCGACGGAAGTGACGATAGGGGCGGTGGGAGGGTGCCTACCCGAGAGATTAGGAGAGTTAAGTGCCTGATGGAGTTTCCGGAAGTTTTGGTGGCTGTACCGGCGCTAGTGTTCCTCCCTTTCCTGATCTGGAGTGGGCCTAAGCCGTGGTTAGGTTCGGATATTTAGTGAAAAGCCTGGGTGGGGTGTTGCTGTGGTAACCATGTTATAACCTGGCAAATGGGACGCATGATAGTGACGTAGAGTGGCGTCTCCCCCGTTTCCGCAAAGGAGAGCAGGGGTGGGGGGAGGAGAGGAGAGGCGGCGGCCAGGCGGTTGCCCTGACAACGGGGATAATGTTTGTTTTATCACTTTCTAACTGTATCACCTTAGGCATGATTTTTTTTTTTTTTAATTTCCAACTTTTAAGATCAGGATATATGTGCAGGATGTGGTTTGTGACGTAGGTAAATGTGTGCCAGGGTGGTTTGTTGCACAGATCATCCCATCTCCTAGGTATTAAGCCCAGCATCCATTAGCTATCCTTCCTGATGCTCTCCCTCCTCCCACCTCCCCGCACCCCAGTGTGTGTCTGTGTGCTCTCCTCATTCAGCTCCCACTTGTGAGAACATGCAGTGTTTGGTTTTCTGTTTCTGTGTTAGTTTGCTGAGGATAATGGCTTCCAATTCCATCCATGTCCCTGCGTAGGACATGATCTTGTTCCTTTTTATGGCTGCATAGTATTCCATGGCATATATGCACCATATTTTACTTAGGCAAGTTATTTAACCTCTCTGGGTTTCAGTTTTCTTAGCTGACAGTAACAAATATGTAAATTTGAAAATTAGCTTACTGTACCTGCTCATACCCCAAACTTAGGTTCAAACCACTCCTTTCACCTGGACCAGCAGCCCTCCCATCTCCAGTCCTGCAAGGCTCAGTTCCACTTCCATTCTCCACCTAACCTTCCCACATTCTCCTTAGCTCCAGTTAGCCACTCTCTCTTGCCACTCTCCCTTTGCACTTGGTACTGTCACTGTGCTATATTCCAGCCTACCTTGTATAGGAGTTTTCTTCTGATGTTTTCCCCAAAACCCATTGCTCTCTCTCTTAGAAAATCCACCCAGTCTCTCAGGACAAAAACCAAAGATCATTCCTGTATGTCCTTTTTTTCTCCACACACTCCCCCACCTCTCTTATCTCCATATGCTCTAATTTAAAAATGTACACATCTGTTCTCTTCTTCCTGTTCACACTGTCACTGTAGTCCAAAACACTATCGTCCATGCCTGGATCACTACAATAGCTGATTGACCAATGTTCCTGCTGTTATATGTAAATTTTCTTTTTTCTTTTCTTCTTTTTTTTTTTTTTTTTTTTGAGAAAGAGTCTCACTCCATTGCCCAGGTTGGAATGCAGTGGTGCAATCTCTGCTCATTGTAATCTCCACCTCCCAGACTCAAGCAATTCTTCTGCCTCAGCCTCCCAACTCTCTGGGATTACAGGCACGCACCACCATGGCCAACTAATTTTTTTGTATTTCTAGTAGAGAGGGGGTTTCACCATATTGGTCAGGCTGGTCTCGAACTCCTGACCTCAGCTAATCCATCCACCTCAGCCCTCCAAAGTGCTGGGATTACAGGCTTGAGCCACTGCGCCCGGCCTGTTATATGTAAATTTTCAGTGCCGCAAGAGAAGTAGCACTCAAATGTAAATTTTCTCAGCAAGGCAATTTACTTCTATAGAAGGGTGCATCTTACAGATGGAGCAATGGCAAGCGCACACCTAAATACCTGAGTCAGGGGTTCTTATCCCTGACTTAAGTAGTCCCTACTGCTGTGTCATTGCCCTAGTGGCTAGGGTTGGACTGCAAAGTCTAAGCTAATTCCGATTGGCTGTCTTAAAGAGAGCAGGGGTATGAACCAGAGTGGCGGGGTGAGCAGTTTGTTGGGAAAAACGATTATGGAACAGGTAACTAAAGGTAACTCAGGTCAGAGCAGGGGACTGGGGGTGACTCAGGTCAAAGCAGGTGACCAGGATGAGTCAGGACAGAGAAGGAGACCAGGGGAACAGATGTGAACTACTGATTAGAACTGATGGAAAAGGCTGTTTACTGAAAGTATGAGGAAGTTAAACTTTAAAATGGAGGACAAAAAACTGAACATACTGACATGCTGATTATTTGAAGAGAAACTTAGAACTGATTGTATCCAATGCTGCTTTCACTCTTCTCTCCACACTCCATTTACTCCACAGGCAGCCAGAGTGATTATCTTATTCCTCAGCTTCAACTCCCATGGGGGCTTCCCATTACTCTTATAATAAAAGCTCAACTCATCCTAATGACCTTCATGGCCAAACATACCAGCATCTCCAGCCTCACTTCTTGCTGTTGCTGTCCTCCTTGCCTCATTCCAGCCATGCTGGCCTGGTTGTGCCATTCTTGGAATGTACAGAGCTCATTCCTGGATGTTGGCTTTGGCTGGTCTCTGCCTGCTCATTCCTGCCCCCAGGTCTTTGGATTAGCTCTTCCCTCTGTCTGGGACATTCTTCCCTTGACTTTGCACTGGTTGGCTTATTTTCTCTATCATCCAGATTTCAGTTCACGTGTCACCTGGGGTGGGGGGCATTTCTTGACACTGCTTGCCTCCAATGTTCCCATCATCTATCTTATTTTTTCATAATATGTGTCACTACTTGAATTGTCCAATTTGCTTACATGTGTATTGTAGAATTGTCATTTTCTTTTGTATTCCTGTAACCTCAGCACCTAGAATAGTGCCTAGCATGAATTCAATGTTAGTGGTTTATTATTATCATGTACTGAGCGCTTACTAAGTGCCAGACATTGTGCTGAGTACTATGTGTTGTTTAATTTTCACTACAGTCTTTTGAGGTACATACTATTACCCATTTATAATAAGGAGCTGAGGCTCAGAGAGGTTAAGTGACCTTCCTATTATCAGAAAGATAAATGTGGCCAAACCCAGTGACTTACACCTGTAATCCCAACACTTTGGGAGGCAGGGAGGAAGATCGCTTGAGTCTAGGAGTTCAAAACCAGCCTGGACAACATGGTGATACCTTGTCTCTACAAAAAATAATTAAAAAAAAAATCAGCCAGGTGTGATGCATGTGTTTGGATCCCAGCCACTCCAGAGGCCACAGTGGGAGGATTGCTTGAGCCCAGGAGGTCAAAGCTGCAATGATCTGTGTTTGCACCACTGCACTCCAGCCTGGGCAACAGAGAGATTCTGGGGGGGGGGGAAAAAAAGATAAATGGAGAAATAGGACTGGATCCCAGGTCTGCATTTTTTTTTAACTACTCAGTATTTAATAGTTAGTAGGTCGTGTCTTTATTACCTTTCTAACCCCCTAGTTCAAAAAATATTGGTGGAGTTGAACTTCAAAATTTCAGAAAGGAAGGTGGAGGGTCAAGGGGGTATTTGCTTAGAGAGGGAACAGGGACACTTGGCCTGCAAACTGGAGTCATGTGACACACACTCATTTATTCCACCAACATATCAGCCCATTGAGTTCCCACCTCTTGCTAGGCGCTGTCCTAGGTGATGAGAATCCAACTCCTGTGAGAGTTATTTGCCCCCATTTCCTTATGCCCAGGAAAGGACTTAGGAGAACTATCTGTGGGAGGTCTGTGCTATTTGGGGGGATAGAGCATCCAAGTCTTTTCTTAGGCAGTCAGGGACTCGCCAAAGCCAACAACCAGGACTATGCGTCTGAGGAGCCACACAGGCCCAGGTATGTTTGTTTTGGAGGGGGCTGGATAAAAGAGAGATCAGGATCTTCCAAAGACTGAAAAACAATCAACTCCTTTCTAAAACCTCAACTACCTTAGGCAGACAGAGGTGGGTGGAGAAGTTCCTGTTATTGTTTCAGTTTTAGCCCCAGGGGAAAGCATGGATTCCAGCCTTTTTTTAGAGCACAGAGCACTTTCCTGAGTTCGTGGAAGCCCTGTGCTTGACCCATTAGAGGTGAGGCAGAGCTTGGTAATGAAAGGCCCATCCACTGAAAAATACTGCCTCCCAGCGGCCACTTGGCTCTGTGCCAAGCTTCTGTATGGCTTACTGAGAAGGAATACCAACACCCACCTAATTATTGTGGAATTAATTCTCTTTGATTCCAACTAGATCTAGTTCTGAAATTTAAATTCCAGTTGGATGCTGTGGATCAGAGGATGATTTGCAACTGTCCGCAGAAGCGACTGAGGAATGAGAACAGCAGATGTGGCAATTTGGCCACACTCCCTTCCATTATGGGATCATAAGGAGAGTACATTGACATCGTCTATTCCCATAAACTATTCAGGACAGCCACAAAAAAGATCTAGTCCTTTGGGATCTCCAGCAAAAAAAAAAAAAAAAAAAAAAATCCGTGGCCTGGCATACTGGCTCACACCTGTAATCCCAGCACTTTGAGAGGCCGAGGCAGGCGGATCACCTGAGGCTAAGAGTTCAAGACCTGACCAACATGGTGAAACTCCGTCTCTACTAAAAATACAAAACTTAGCTGGGCATGGTGGCTTGCGCCTAGTCCCAGCTACTCTGGAGGCTGAGGCAGGAGAATCACTTGAACCCGAGAGGCAGAGGTTGCATTGAGCCGAGATCGTGCCACTGCACTCCAGCCTGGGCAACAGAGCGAGACTCCATCCCCCACCTTCAAAAAAAAAGAGAAAAATCTAGTCATGTAAAGGGGTTAACAGACCCCAGATGAAGGAAGAGTCTAATTAGGTTCTGTCGAATTTGAGTGACAGAGGAAAATATTATGACAAAAAGGAAGATTTAAATTCCAGAAGCATCAAAGTTTAGATTTCTCTCTGCATAATAAATACGCAGCAGCCTTTTCTCCATCTTACTGAGCAGAGGGGTTTCTCAAATTAAGGACCCTCCAGTCCATCCTTCACACTGCCATCAGCGAACTCCCCACTCAGCATACCTGACTTGACACTCCTTTGTGAGAAACACACTAGTGGTTTCCCACTGTGTCTCCCCTATTCATGCTCCAAAATTCAACCGCACTGTCCTGTCTCCCATCACTCAGCCTGCTCACCCAGTCATTTCTGGGCCTTGGCACGTGCTGTTCCCTCTGCCTGAATCCATCTCTTTGTCTAGGTATGGTCAGTTTCCCCAGCTGTGCACTCCCCTGGTACCTGGCACTGTCCTATCCTACTTTACTAAGTGCTTGTTTAACTGTCTGCTCTCCCCGTGGATGCTGTAGGGGCAGGGACCATATCTGTCCAGTTTGC